CATTTTTTTCAAAGTCATTTTCAACTACATATTCCCCAAATAAAATAATTTTGCACATAAACCCAAACTTTTTCCCACTTTTAATCAAACATTCTCCAACAAAAATCACAATTACAAAACTCATTTCCCCAAAAACAAATGTGATTCAAACAGAGCTATAGTTTGCAATTAATTTTCACTTTGGACAAGCCAAATCAGTGTCGAAAACTTGATGACATAGAGCATATCACTAAAAGAATACAATCATGCAATTTCACCTAATTAAATTACGAAGGGAAAGTACCTATAAGGTATGTGCTTATGAGTCTGGAGATCCCTGTATTTTTTGGCAAGACCGAAATCGATGATATAAACCTGCAATAAATAACGTTACTGTCATCCACAAACAAATACTCCCATCATTTATTGAGCCATGATCAACTATTGGATTTAACCATTTAAAATTGACATCCCATACAAAGTATGTATCAGAAAATTTCTACCGTAAATTGCCGGGAACAAATGCCTCCAGCAATCAATCATAATAGATAAAACTTGAAAGGTTTTAGCAACAAAACAAATCTAATATAGAATATATACCCTCAAAACGAGTAAAAACAATATGCAAGAACACTCCAATTAACCCCAACTCAAAATTGTTAATTTGCCATATAAAAAACTTCTCTAAGATGTTTATCTCATCTATTCAATTTTCTACACATGTATAAAAATGGTAAGTTTATTCTCAACCAAATATGATAATTCTTATCGGTATAGGAAAACAACTTAACACCTCCTCGAATAACTAGGTATCCACCATTTTCAATATTGTTAGAATTAAAACTACACGCACACATAAACGAAGCAGCAGTGCATATAAGGGACCAATGAGTTTCACATGCGAAAAACATTATCCTTATAACAGATAAATTGCCTAGAAGTAAAATGATAACATATTTCTGAAGTTATACATATTCACTGAATAACTTATATTCCATGTACACAACAACTAACCCTATTCAAATTAGCAAAAGCAATATCTCTTTGCATAATATGATAAGAGAATAAGGCCATGTCACAATCCTCTAAAGTATCTTAAACATGGTTTAAAAAGGCGGTAGTGAGGTACGCCTTGAAGCGTATGTAGTATGTCTCGAGACGGTATTTTTGAGGCTAAAAATATGAGGCTCACGTCTCGAGACGGTATTTTTGAGGCTAGAAAAAAAGGTGGGAGACAAATGTGGGAAATTTGAGGATTAGAAAGAAAAGAAAAAGGGAGAGAGTCGCCTAGAGAGAGAAACAGTGGATTTCTTGCAAGTGCGTGTTTTTGTGTGCATGTGCGTGAGAAAGAGTGGAGAAAAGAGTGATAATAAGGCGCTGTACAAAACCTCCTAAATTTGAAGTTTATTGTGCAAACCTTCTTTGGTAATTAACGTGCTAACCTTTTATTATTATTATTATTATTATTATTATTATAGAAAACGTTCTTACTTTTTAGAATAATTGGCACAAAACGTCCCTATCTTTGAAGATTTTTCGTACCTTTCGTTTTTTGGCGCAGGACGTCCCTACCTTTCACATTCTTTGCGCCGAACGTCCTTTTTACCAGTTGTTAACATAAAATGACCACTATACCCTCCTATATAAATAAAACAAAAAATAAAATAAAATAAAATAAAATAAAATAAAAATAAAAATAAAGAATAAATTACAATCCGCTCCTAAACTTTTTTTAAAATGCAAATCAGTCCAACAAAAAGGGCTATTTTTTGCTTCTTTTTTTTTTTTCAGTCCAAATGCTTCTAAATTCCGGCAACCTCGGCCACTCAAGCCGTCGGACATTGACACCAGTCAACAACCCTCTAATTCCTCCTTCAATTACCACCCAACCACTCCCAAATTCATCAATTGTAGTGATCGGAATTAATGTTGAAAGTTCACTGTCCTCAAATCTAAAAATCTTCGAAAATTACATTCTGGCCACCCCCATGATTGGAACTCACCTCCTATCAATTGTCCATCACTAGACGACCACACCCATGCC